TCCAAGTTTGAATACAAATCCTTTATGTCATCGAAAATATCCAAGATCAATGCCAAACCACCCAAGCCAAAGACAGCCAAGGAACTAAAGGAAGAAGAGGAGGAGAAGCAAAACGATAAAGAGCTCAAAGAGCTGCTTGAAGGCAAGCTGATGATTGAGAAGCTACACGAATCCCAGTTAACAGGCCAAGAACGGCACAAATATAACACTCAAAAGCTAGCCAAACTGGGTATGAAGGTTAAGCACAAGGAGAAGTTCCCTGCTAATATGTATTTTGCCGTCGAAAGAAACCGCAATGAAAGGGTCAAAAGAGATATAAAGGATGCCAAAGACAGAGGCATTTTGAATGCCTCCATGAAACGAGAAATCGAGGTGCTACACAAGGGAAAGTTATCGTCGGATGATAGCAATAAGAAACGCAAGGGCGATAGAGGCTTGAAAATTGGTAGCGGGAGATATAAGGATGGCGTTTTACACATCTCTAAGAGCCATATTGACCGCGTATCTGGATCCGGTCCATCCAAAGTTGGCAAGAAGCATGGTAAACGGCGCTAGTTCAGGCACTTTTACAACTTTCTTGTTGTTGATATCAAACAACGGGGCTGTTCAATTCCTTGAGACGATTTTGGAAAACGAAAAAAAAAAGCTTTGAAAAATGAAATTTGCCTAACCACGTAACGCTACAGACCGCTTGAGCTTTTCAAAACTGCTCAAATCCACCAACAAGATAAATATGTTTGAGAGGCTGGGCTGTGGCCAAAACAGACAAGCACAGCAGCACCAGGACCAAGCAAGATCTCCGCACCTCTACTTGCTGCAACAAGAGATCCCTGCTGGTAACACCAAAAACACTCACAGTGCATCACCCACTACCGCTCCATGGTACGGAGATGGCCAAGACACACGTCTTACCGGTAATAGGCAACTCTACGAGTAGCGATGGTGGATACTTGGTTGATTTCGCTGAGAAAGATTAAAATTTTACTCACTTGAGTTCAAGGAATTGAGCTACTACAGCCCCAATAAATCACTGTAAACACATGAATTGAATGAAAGCTACAAAAGCTTGGGCCACTGCGTGTGTTTAAATTTGATTAGAAATCGCGTTATCAAACACTCACCAAATGCGTGCTGTCCTGGTAATGAAATATTTGGTGCTTCATTCGAAAAATATGCTGTGAATGCCACAGCTCGAACGCATGTAGTTGAATATTTGACTTATTGGCTGGTGTGCTTTACAGTAGCACTGGCCTACACGCGTAGATGCTTCCTAACATCGAAAAAATCATCCAAAAAATATTTGCAATATCGGGCAAATCCGCACGGATGAATACGCATGAAATTTTTTCAGGACGGATTCCGCTTTCGGTCCAAGCCCTCTTAGCTCAGTTGGCAGAGCGCGCGCCTCGTAAGCGTGAGGTCACTAGTTCGATTCTGGTAGTGGGCATTATTTTTGCATATTTACTTTTTTTTATTTGCACTCTGGGGAAATGGCTGGTATTATTATTTACAATAGGCTACGTGAAAGGGCAAGCAATGGGAACTAGTTAGGATTGCA